CTGCTCTGCGACGTTTGCCTTAATCGAACTTGAAACCTTTCAATTTCTGAGACTGATAAAATACGGATTTAACACGTCACCCAACCTAGGTGGCAGCTTTGTTGCATGTTACTTACTGTAACAGATGATTGAATCCCCTATCTTTGCACAAACCGTAGGGTTTATCATTCATTTGAATTCAATGGTGAAAGAATGATGCATGAATATTTATCATAAAAAAAACAATGTATATGCAAGATGATTTCCTATGTCAGGCAAGGATGAGCATGCAAAAGAATATAGACAATCATAAGCAGTCATACACGAATAATTGAGAATAACCAAGAGATTCATAAAGATACATTTTGTAAAAGAATATTTGTAAAGAACAATACAAATTTAGCCAACGAAAATCATATTCAAGACTTTGGATACTTTTGCTTTGGAATCCGATACTGGCAGAAGTATCACAAATATGAGGAAAACCCTAAATGAACCAGGTCACCAGCTGTTCCTTCTCGTGCTCGTCTGTTGTGAAAAACCCGCCTTGGCGCCCTTTTGGGTTTTCACCAAGGTTGCCCCCACCCTTTTTGTTGTTTTGTTTGTTTGTTTGTTTTTTTTTCGAGGCTCCCTTTCTGGTTTTCACCTAAAGAACCATGAAATATCTCGACCATGATAGACTCAGAAACATGAATTAAAGATTTCTGGCATCAGTAAAATGTACTTCCCATATGAGATTAGGCGAAGACATTACGGACATCACCTGCCAGTTGATTAGCAAATTTTCTAATAGAAATGCAGCAAGTGACGAAAACCAGGACTTTGGGCTTTTGTAATGAAGTCAGGTGGGGTGCTTTTCAAGAAAGGTTAAGGCTTGAAAGCAGATTTGATACGAGGGGTGAAATAACTTGAGATTGCACTCTTTGAAAACAACTCCGAAACTGAGGAAAATTTGCCCCAGTTTGATCGGACTTTCTCTCTTTGCATTTTTTATGGTATTTTCTTCACTTTTACATTTTTCTTTGAAAAACTAAATTTGCCCCAGTGTAGGGTTTTTTTTTTTTTAAATTTGCCCCAGTGTGGGGTTTGCAATTCTCAAGGGTTATCAAACGAAATTTGTCAATTCTGATGGCTCAAAGGGGATAAGTAGAGATAAAATGTTTTCTTAGTGTAAAAGAAGATGGCCTGACTTGCATTTCGCCATTTGCATGAATTTCTAAAGAAAATTTGCATGATCAAATGAAAAACTTTTTGCACATATCTGAGTTGATGGGTTGAGGGAATGTCCGTCCATCCATTTCGGCCAAGATAAGAGCTCCGCCAGGTAATACCTTTTGGACGATGAACGGCCCTTGCCAATTTGGAGCAAATTTGCCTTTAGCTTCATCTTGCATTGGCAAAATCCGCGTACTTTGTCACCTTCTTCAAATGCCCGCCGATGGACTTTTTTGTTGTACGCCCGGGCCACACGCTTCTGATAGCACTGACCATGACAGATAGCATTGAATCGCTTTTCATCGATCAAAGTCAATTGCTCATGGCGCTGCTTGATCCAGTCAACCTCCTCCAATTTAGCTTCCATGAGGATTCGTAGCGACGGAATTTCAACTTCAGCTGGTAATACAGCTTCCATTCCATACATGAGTGAATATGGCGTTGCCCCAGTCGATGTCCAAATAGTCCGGTACGCCATCAATGCATAAGGCAACTTTTCATGCCAATCGCGATGCTTTTCAGTCATTTTGCGGATAATCTTCTTCAAATTCTTGTTTGCGGCTTCTACAGCTCCATTCATTTGAGGCATATAAATGGCGGAATTGCGGTGTTTGATTTTGAACTGCTCGCATAGTCCATCTACCATGTCATTGTTCAGATTGTTGGCATTATCCGTGATAAGAGTTTCGGGTACTCCAAAGCGACAGATGATGTGATCTCTCAAGAAATTGGCAACTACCTTCTTCGTGACATGTTTGAATGACTCCGCTTCAACCCATTTAGTGAAGTACTCAATCGTCCACAATATAAATCTATGTCCATTTGAAGCGGGAGGATCAATTGTACCAATCACGTCCATACCCCACATTGAACAGGGCCACAGGGCGGTCATGCTATGCAATTCAGTGGGTAGAGCGCGTATAATGTCACCGTGCATTTGGCATTTTATACATCTCTGGACAAAGTCTATACAATCATGCTCCATAGTAAGCCAGAAATATCCGGTTCTCATGATTTTCTTCGCTAGCAAATGGCCATTCATGTGAGGTCCACAAACGCCACTATGCACTTCTTTCATCATATATTGAGCTTCATCTTCATCAATGCACCTTAAAAGGTTCAAATCCGAGGTTCTTTTGTACAACACTTCTCCATTCAAGAAAAATTTTGAAGCCATTCTACGCAGAAAACTCTTGTCCTTTGTACTTAGCATGCAGAGGATAAGATCCTGTTTTGAGAAACTCCTTAAGATCATTATACCAAGGAACATTGTCAGAGGACTTGTCTACAACCCAACAGTGGGCAGGTTTGTCTTGAAGTTGAATCGGAATTGGCTCGATCTTCAATTCATCAGGATATTGGATCATAGAAGCTAATGGCCAAAGCATCGGCAAATGCGTTTCGGGCTCGTGGAAGATGTCTGAACTCCAAATTTCGAAATTGCTTGGCCAGAGTGAGCAGACTGCAATGGTAGGCAGAATTTTTGAATCTTTGGTTATCCACTGCTTCAAGGTTTGGTGCACGAGCAAATCTGAATCACTGAAAGCTATCAATTCTTTGATTTCCATTTCCAAAGCCATTTTGAGACCAAAAATGCAGGCTTCATATTCAGCCATGTTGTTTGTGCAAGCAAATTGCAATTTGGCAGCGGCAGGGTAATGCTTCCCTTCGGGTGAAACAGAACAGCTCCAATTCCAACTCCGAGGAATTCGAAGCTCCATCGAAGAAAAGCCTCCATTCAGGGCTTTGCTCACTTATATCATCTGTAGCGCCTACGAATAAAACTTTCTCATCAGGGAAATAAGTATGAAGTGGCTGATAATCATCATCCCTTGGATTTTCCGCCAAATGATCAGCTATAGCTTGCCCCTTGACAGCTTTTTGTGAAGTGAAAACAATATCGAACTCTGAGAGAATTATCTGCCATTTGCCAGACGCCCAGTTAACATCGGCTTCTCCAAAAGATACTTCAAAGGATCAGATCGGGAAATAAGATAAGTGGTATGGCTCAACAGGTAGTGTCTCAACTTTTGAGCTGCCCAGGCCAATGCACAACAGCTTTTCTCAATGAATGAATAATTAGCCTCATACTGCGTGAACTTCTTGCTTAGATAGTAGATGGCTTGTTCCTTCCTTCCAGAGTCATCATGTTGCTCGAGACACAACCAACTGCTCCTTCAAGCACGGATAGGTACATGATTAATGGTCGACCCGGCTTCGGTGGCACCAAGACTGGTGGATGCAACAAATAATCTTTAATCTTGTCAAAAGCCTGTTGGCACTCCTCATTCCAATACAACGGCACATTCTTTCTCAATAATTTGAACAACGGCTCGCATGTGGCAGTTAGCTGGGCAATGAACCTCCCAATAAAATTGATCTTCCCTAAGAAACTTTTCACGTCCTTCTGAGTTTTCGGCACTGGCATATCTCGAATTGCTTTGATTTTTGCTGGATCTATCTCTATCCCTTCTTGCTGACAATGAATCCCAACAGCTTACCCGCGGGTGCTCCAAAGGCGCATTTCGCAGGATTTAGTTCAAATTGTACTTCCGCAACTTTCGAACAACTTCTTCAAATCAACCAAATGGTCCTCTGCCCTTTTAGACTTGATTATGATGTCATCCACGTAGACCTCCATCTCCCGGTGGATCATATCATGAAATAGGGTTGTCATGGTCCTCTGATACGTTGCTCCAGCATTCTTTAAACCAAAGGCATGACTCGGTAGCAAAAGGTACCCCAAGGGGTAATGAAAGCAGTCTTCTCCCTATCCTCTTCTGCCATCAAAATCTGGTGGTATCCAGCAAGCAATCACAAAAAGATTCAATCTCATGCCGGCGGTATTGTCCAGGAGAATGTGAATATTTGGCAGAGGGAAATCATCTTTAGGACTGGCTTTATTGAGGTCTCTATAATCAACACAAACTCGCACCTCTCCACTCTTTTTTGGAACAGGGACTGGATTCGAAAGCCAAATTGGGTAATGGGAAACAATGATAATGTTGGTTTTGAGTTGTTTTTCAATTTGCTCTTTTATTTTGAGGCTCATATCTGGTTTGAATTTTCGGGTTTTTGTTTTACGGGTGGAAAAGAAGGGTCTGTGGGTAACCTATGCACTACCACATCAGTTGAAATGCCAGTCATATCATCATAGGACCATGCAAATACATCTTGGAACATAGTCAAGAATTCAAGCATCTCCTTTTTCTGCCTTTCATTCAAATGAATACTAATTTGCACCTCCTTAACCTCATCCTCAGTGCCAATGTTAACCTTTTTGTTTTTCTTCCAGGTTCGGTTTTGGTTTTTCCTCATATTGTTCAAGGTCCTTTGCAAAAGAATCGAATACCTCCTCATTATCACTCTCGCTTTGGAGTTGGATTCACAGACCTCCAAGTCGTGAGTGATATAGAGATTGCCATTATCGTATTCCAGAACTGTGATATCCAAAGGGTCAAATAGTTTTATTTTTGGCCATCTGAAAGAATTAACGAATGTGGGATAATAAGCAAATAAGCATACAACAACAAATGGTCAAGCAATACGACAAAAATATAAACAAATGAATAAACACAACAACATGACAAGAACAACTTGTGCATTTTCATAAAACCTTTGATTGAAAGCAAATGGAAATGAAAACTTAACAATATTTACATGCGCAAACATTAGTCAAAAGTAAAATTGTTTTCATTGGCTATTTACAGATGCAAAAGTATTTTCATGAATTCACATGAATGATATTCTGCAAATAATTGCATAAACAGCTGTAGATGAATTAAAGAGTTAACTTTTGATTTCAGAATCTCTAACACTGGACCGGTATTTGATTATTGAGGCTAATGGTGGTCTTAATCAGCAGCGATCATCGGTAAGTGTACTCTGTTCAAGGATAAGATAAAGTTGGAGGAAAACTAGTGTTGCTTTCACTGCAGTTAGGTCTTCAATTTGTTCATAAATAAAGAAGAAATGGTTGAAACTCATCTCACAATCAGTGCTTGCTGTGGAAAAGCTTTAAATTGTCCCCTACAAAGATTTTAGCTAAAGACTATTCGAAACCATCGTGTATGGTGTGTTAAAACATAGGGAATAACCAGGAATTCACTATCTTATTGTTCTTGCCCCATCAAAAATTTTTTCATGTGTATCCATTGCCCTCATTGCGTCTACAATTGCATGGCTTTTCAATTAACAAATACTCTATGAGATTAAGGTTAAGAGTAGGATAAGGAATGTGGGATTTGTAAATAGTTAATGATGAAAAAATAATATTGACAATAAATATGGTAAGTCTTCTGAAAAATTTCGTAAGTGTTGGTAAAAATGCATATATAATGCAAGTGTTAGTTGTACATATGATACATTAAAACGTACTCACATTTCCCTTCTTGGATCTAAAGAGACCGAATATACACAATATTTTGGGATGAAAGGTATAAAATGTGTCACACAACTATTCCAATTCGTACGGGTCCCAAACCTGGTTGGCAGAGTAGCAAATACAGTGTGCTTCTTTTACCTACTGAAGAGATAGGTTTAGAGTTCTTAAAAGATAAAACACTAGATGGTTTACTGTTCCTACATATCATCTTTACGTTGAAATTATGATTCTTATGCCTCTTACAATTTTGTCTTACCATCTCTTTTAATGTTTTATTTTCAGAAACTAAACAAGTTAATCAAAATATGTTGACCAAAAATGGGATAGCGTTGTATTGCTCTGTATTTAATATTCGACCAAACCCCCCCCCCCCCCGCGGGGCGGGGCCAAATTAAAATTCTAGTTCCATCTCTGCTTTTGGATGAATTAAAATCAAAACAGAAGTATTCTTATGTGCAATAGAGCTCCAATCATTCTGCTGAAGAACACAGCAAAGATACTGTGTTTGACTGCCACTTGGAGAAAGAAAATTAATATGGATGATAGATGAATTTCCATTTCAACAAAACACGGCAAAGGTTTGCTTGCTGTAGGACACGAGAGAGAGAGAGCAAGATAGAAGAATTTCCATTCCGACAAAACACATTCAGCTCATAGATGCATAGAGTGACTTGTTCCTGTGTTAGACTGGGCATACCAGTTTTTTAGACAGTAAAAAAATGACTTGTACCTGGTAGCCAATTTTTGAAAAAAAGTGGTTGTTTATCTAAGTGTTACTCACTGTATCAATTATCTGCTAAGCCAATGATATATACTATGTGTCCAGTTGCTAAGTACTGTATATAGATGGTATTTGTTTCTGTTAGGTTGCAGTATTGATCATAGGATAAACAACTTGCAACTAATTTGAAGGTCTAATCTTTTAAGTTTTATATGTGGATCAAGGTTTCCCCCTCCTTATTTTGAAGAACCTTTAATGCAAATCTGAATGGCCATGCTCTTCTATCCTAACTAGCAAAGAAAGCCATTGGCAGCAAATAAGAACTGCAAGTAAATACGCTTAGCATCATGGTAACCTGAGCTTCTGAAATATAGCTAGACATAATCACAGACCAATTAATGCAAGAACTATAAATAAGGGAGCAGGCTGATGACAATTCATCTTTTACAGCTTTAGGTTATTATGATGTAATTCAGATTTTGGATGCTTATCAGTGGTATTATCAACTTTTGGAACCAGTACATGAGTTTGATGCTGGACACCTATTTAAGGAAATTCAGATACATATATTTGATCTATTTACCTGATGAAGTGGTAGAATGATGATTGAGCTGTAGGCATTATAGTGATTCAGAGAATTGAGAGACATATTTGCAGATTATACTTAGCATTAATTGATACCACATTGTTCTCATATCAAAACTGCAGGAGTTACACAATGACACACAACCAATGACATTCTATCATGTTTATGTTAAAGTATGTGGACCTTTGCCTCTGTCTTTCTGTCCTTTGCTCTTTCTGATTAGTTCAACTGATTGGCATATGTGGTGTAATAAGGCATTTTTTGGTCATTTTGCTAAAACAAATAGAGTGGACTATACATGTTAAAACAATAAGTCACAAGTGGAAGTTCTAATCATGTAAAATTTTACTGAGATATATATAGCCCATAAATAAGTAAGATGTTATTAGACCTATGCTCTAAGTTTTCTATCAGAATGCATAAAACTGGGCTTCAGCTTTTAACTTCTAGAAGGAAATTTTCCTTCTTGCTAATTTGTTCATGGAAACAAGAGAGACTATAAAAAAGTCAATAAGTATTGGCATGTATAGTGTGCTAACAACAATTGAGTTTAGATAGAAGATTACTTGGAAAATTTTTTTAAAGTAACACTGTACCACTTTTTGTGATTTGATGTTTGTGAGATGAAATGGCGGTTGGGAGGATTACAAGGTGATTCATGATGTAATAAAAAATTGTTTTTTGCAAATAATGTCCCATCCAAACAAAGCTTTTTTGGTTGTAAGTTCTCTTGATGATGCAATGTTTTACACTGAGCTTGTAACCTTTTGTCTTAGTTGTTAATGTACTGTTTTTACATAAAAGCTTATGTAATCTATAAGCAAAATTTAGTCTTGGTTCAAACTTTCCTGCCAGTTTGCAATTCATTTGTGTAATTTAAATTATCTAACCTTAAAAGAACCTCCTTGTAAACATTAGTTAAGTTTAATGGACTCTAGATAATAGATTTGTATTCTCCTAGAAAAGGCCTGTTCCTGACTTAGTTCTGGTCCTTTTCATTTGTTTATTTTCCTCCTTGTGATAAGGCCATTGCCAAGAGGATCCTTTAAATCTGCCTTAATTGATTACTTTTTCCAATAACTTTTGACCTGTGAGTACATATCTTGACAAGATGAAACAATATGAGGAGTTTTTGGATTTTTGATTTCACATTCTGGGCTTGAAAGGCTACTAGCTCAAATGGATAAGACTTTAACCAAAAGTTCCTCCAAATGACCCTTGGGTTCTGGAAATTTGTTGTTGTTTTATTGTAAATTCAGATATAGAGCCAAAATCTTTTGTAAACTATAATGCATTTGCAATTTCAGTTTCATCGGACAAATCGAGTTTTATGTACATTGTCATCCTTGTTAAAAACTTATGATTAAATTATTCATTTTACTAGATATTAGTTGAGTGAAGCTATAGGTTACAGTAATAGCTAAACCTGCAGATATGCAGTGCAGTGGCCTTGGCTGGGCTTTTGGGAGCAACTCTAGTTATTCCACGCCTCGAATTTCATAGTGTTTGGCAAGATTCAAGGTAACTCAATTATGCTTTAGTAGAATATTATTTCTTGTTGTGAATTTGGATTAAAACTAAATCAACAACGCAGTTGTGTTTTTATTTGATTTTCACTTCGTGAAGGTTCCACTTAGTGACAAACATCATATATACTGTCTTACCCAGTAACGTAAAAAGATGTACAAAAAAATCTATTTTTTGGCTGGATGGAGAAAGAAGTCTAATGTATTCACTTTGCACCTCATTTTCTCTTCAACTTCTCTTCTGTCTCTGAATGCTTCCTTTGTTGCTGAAAACAAAATAGATTCCTTTCCCACTAATGGTTTCTTTTTGGAATGTGCAGTGAATTTGCAGATATTTATGATGAAGAACATTTCATATTTACCCTGAAAGATTTTGTAACAGTAGTCCGGGAGCTACCTGAAGAAATAATGAAAACATATGATTTTAACATCAGCAGTATACCAAATATTCGTGTCCAAGCTTGGGCTCCTGCCAGTTACTACTTAGGAGAAGTTTACCCAGTCTTGCTCAACCAGAGGTTCATTCTGATCATGACTTTATAGTCCAGTACTTTTATAGTAGAGTATCACAACAATTTTCTTGAGAAATCTCTAAAGCCTTGCTTTCTCTGACACATTGCTTTCAGTTTCTCCCTTGTACTCCCAATATCAGGCTGAAATGTAAATTAACCTGTATAATGAATATAATGCAGGAAAGTATGTTTAAATTTTTCTATTAACTGCATGAGATGTTCAAACTGCTAAGGTTATTTAACAAACTCCTAACTGATGCTCTCGATTGTGGCTTCATGTGCTCTAAGTAAAAATATTCACTTGTTGTCTTTCCCATCAATCACTATGATCTGTTTGCTCTAGCAAAGAATGGCATGATCTATGGAAAATCTCTAGCTTCTGCTGAACCAGAATTATTAGGTCAATGCCCTCAAAGCACATTCCTGCTTGTCTGTCAAGAGTTATTGTTTAGTTTGTTGGAGAAGTCCTGTTTCGATACTTAGTAGAAATTGTTTCCAATGAAAATAATTCTAATTTTGTGTGTCTTACAGATGCTTCCCATTGAGCAGCTTTGCCAGGATAAATTTGCCCATGAATGTTGCTACTAAGGATTCTATGGAGCACCTAGAATTCTGAATCTTGTTCTTTGTCAAACATCAATTCTCATGATCTACTTCTTCTAATCAGTATGTTATACAAACAAATAAATTAGACCTACAAAATGTTATATTGTCTTTTCTGTTTTGCCTTGTCCAATGCTATCATTGTTTTGTAGGGATGTTCGTGTCAAAGTGATGTGGTGTTAGTTTCTTGCATAGGGATTTGTGCTGTATGGTTGTACATGATGTTGTTGCATGTTTTTTCTTGAAGATGAGATTTGGAGTGTTCCTCACCAAAAAAAAAAAAATTCCTCTATGATTGGGTTATCATTTTAATATGATTACCTTTTCCTGTCCTGAAAAATCGTTTTGGCATGTCATACAATACAGGTTTGAACTTGAGGGAACTGGAAAAGCACAAGAAACTGTTTAACTAATGTACTTGGTTAAACTTCAAACTACCCTTGCCCCCCCCCAGGGCCCCAGAATAAAAGGATTGCTGATATTGCATCTCTTTAACACAGGGTTGTCCGCATATCTCCATTTGCAAACAGGCTGTCAATGAATGTTCCACCTCATATTCAGTTTTTAAGATGTTTGACCAATTATAAAGCTCTCAGATTCTCTTCTGCCATATCGAATCTTGCACAAAAATTAGTCAATAGAGTGACAGAGAAAAGCTCTTCCTATGGTGGGAAGTATGTTTCAATTCATCTCCGCTTTGAGGAGGTATACCTGCCTGCTTCTAAATTTGAATCCTGTTTTCTGCATTGTAATGCTTTTATGAGCTAATATTCAGGTGTTCCATTTCAATTTAGTTGACTCAATTTCTTGATAATCTAAGTTATCTATCTTTGAAGTACAGGACATGGTGGCCTTCTCTTGTTGTTTATATGATGGTGGAAGGTCTGAAAAATTTGATATGGATGCAATACGAGAGAAGGGGTGGGGTAAGAAATTCAAGAGCAGCGGTCATGTGATTTCACCTGGTCTTAATCGCATTAATGGAAGGTGTCCTATGACTCCTTTGGAGGTTAGTTCGTAAATTATAAAATCAATGTGTATATTGTGTACAGGAAAATTTGAGCTAAGCAAAGATGGTAAATATTGGCCAAACAAATATGTCTAAAAGCCCTGGAGTTAGCCTTGTTAATATAACCTCCTCTCTTGGTATCCTTAGGCTAAAATAACATAATTTATTCATTGCCTTTTCTTTTTTATTGACAATGGAACTGTTGGTACTGATGTGAAAACTAAATTCAATTCTACCATTGAGGGTCTAGAAGATTGCCCAGTTGCATGCTTCCACTAATTGCATGTTCATGTGATATCAGAGTATAGAAAGCATTGCTCTCATGCATGACTCGTGCATTGGGCTGAATAAGGCTCCAAACTGAAGAAATTCTTTAATTAAATATTTCATGTGCATTCCTTGAGGCATTTGCTTAATCCACAAACATGTCTACGTTCTGAACCAAATGCTGTTTCTATGTGTTTTTCCTTTTCAGATTGTTCAGATGTTTCTGTGGATTTGTATGTTTGCAGTAACAAATGTTGTGTTAAATATGACGCAAGTAAATGTGAACGGAAGCTATCATATTTATACATTTTCAGTAACAAATGTGCTAAATATCATGTCAGTCTATGTGAATGGATTTTCATGTCACTTTAACAGTCAGAAACTGGTGCAGTGTCTTGGGCAATTGATATAATATATATATATATATGTATGTATGTATGTATGTATGTATTATATGTTCTGAGGGAGGTGAATGAAATGGCAGCTTTGTGAAGTTGTTCTGATCTATACATACTGGTAATACAAGATACTGACTGCTATATTCTTCTGAAAACTGGAATGGAAAAAGAATAAGAAAGTGACACCTTTCCAGGCCCTTGTATCATTATCATTTTTATCATCTCCAATATCACCATTACCATCATGATATTGACATTTAGTCATGTATTCTCCATCAGTGGACGCTATGACTTGTGCTTATCTCGTGGATATATTCATTTTTCAATGCACAAATGTAAACTAGAATCAGAACAATTTCTAATTGATGGTGCATATTCATCTTTGATTTTTCTTGCAACTACGATTCGTTGATGTTTTATACTATAATTGCATGAAATTCTCAACTGTTGCATGTAAATTACTCAATCCTTCTATTCATTTCTTTTCTTTGTCAGGATAGGTTGGGATGATGCTTAGAGGTATGGGATTTGCCAATGACACGCCTATTTATTTGGCTTCAGGAAAAATTCACCAGGCAGATAGAAATTTAATGCCTCTTCTCAAGATGTTCCCCCTATTACAGACGAAGAACTTGCTTGCAACAGAAGACGAGCTTGCTGAGTTTCAGGTAGAGATATAATGCACCTACTGAGTTTACATTTCCATTATGAAGTATTTGGTATACCAATTTGTGATATTAGCTCTTTCAGATGATTTATAATTCATTGTGAACTCTGCAAAAAGGATGATATTCAGTTTCTGCATAATAGCCAATTTCTGTATGAGAACTATTTTCTGTGCAAGGGTGTAGTAACCCTGAAACTTACTAAAATATGAAGATTTAAAATGAACTTGTCTAAAGAGCATCAGTATTCTGAGCGAGGCAACAAAATGGTAGTCTGTGCTCTTTCATGAGATGGTAGCCACTTCAATGGCCTACCTATTCAACTGGTATTTGTTTAGATGTGCCCTTATTTTGTATCTTCTTTACTATGCTTTGAAAAGATCAGATTCCATTAGGCTACTAAATTCTCCGACAGAAACTGGTACATTAAATTTTGAGCTCTTAAAACTTCCATAAGTGCACTTAATTGCACTGGTAGTCAGTTTCATTGCTGAAAGATCTCGTCCATCTAGCAAATTAGAAGCCAATTTGGCATTTTAGTGTTCTTATAGATTTTGTGATCATTCTTTTCATTTCTTAATGATGTACCTTGGATCTTGTTCTTCTAGACAATGGCCTAAAAGAAATATTTTTATTTGTTTCTGCTGCCTGAAGAAAAGCACCTGAGTAGACTTAAGTTAATCAGTGTTTCAGTTTTCCAAAGTATGTGGGCTGATATTATTACTAATCTAACTGCTCAAGCAGATTTATGTATTGGTCAGAGCATAGTATGTTAAAAGAAAAACCAACAAAACTGTCTGCGCTAGCTTCTTGATTATTTGTTAATCAAAGGACTAGGATACATGAAATTTGATTGACTCTTTTACCCTTCATATCCCATCCAAGGGATACTCTTCAAGGTTAGCTGCATTGGACTATGCTGTATGCTTGTTTAGTGAAGTATTTGTCAGCACTCAAGGTGGAAACTTCCCGCATTTTCTGATGGGTCATAGGAGGTTCCTCTATAATGGCCATGCTAAAACCATCAAACCCAATAAGCCCAAGCTTGCGCTTTTACTGCACAACACAAGCATAAGGTGATATCTGTTCTCCCATTCTGTTTTGTTTACTTCTCCATTCTCTGTGTGTTTTACCATTTTTCTGTTAACTAGCTACTTTTGTTTACAATTTCTAAAAAGTTTCACTCTTTGCCTGTTTGAAAACTTTATGACTTTTTATTTGAACGTTGAGGACATGATGCACTATTGATACATGTAGACCAGAAGTTGATTTAGTATATTTCCTTGGATCTTACTGAAAATGGATCACTTAGAACTAAAGGGAGAGAACAGGTTGCTAGTTCTGTCTTTTACAAGTCTACACAGTATGTTTATATTCAGTTAGAGCAATACCTGTCAGGTAACTTTAAAGGGAATCAAATCTATAAAGTTCTTGAGTTGCTGTTGTATTTTAGTAGAACTTTTAGTTGAATTTGGGAGTTAAGCTACAGATTCTACTAACGTATAAAATGCTTCAGGTGCAACTCTTTTTTCCTTTAATCTTTTTTTGGGTTGAATACAAGGCTTTATTAGAAAACTGAAAACTAGCTTAATTTTCTTGAAATATACTTATTTTCAGAGGTACTTGCTCCCAAATGATGCTAAGATTCTTGAATTGATGTGAGTGAATGTCCCTCACACATATACTCAGCAGAAATGCTTTCCGGATGCTGGGCAATTCTGGGGCATCCGACTGTGCTATTCCCTATTAAAAGCATTTTTTAAAATTCAGAATCATTCCAATCACGAACTCCAAATCGTTTTGACCTTATTTACTACCGATAGCAGAAATCACTGCAATCTAGGTGTCAGGATTCAACTAAACCAATCAGCATCTACATTTTAGATTAATCAGCAAGTGTTGTGTAATTACTGGACTGATCATCCAACAACAACACCAAACAGTACTGAACCCCAAAGTCAAAATGTGGTTTGACATATTATTCACTCCCTAAAAGAACTGTATCTTTAGGTGATCTGGTGAAGTTTGTTTTGTTGGACAAGTTGTAGAATTCAATTTTTTAACATTATCAGTTCAGGTTTTTGATCTGAAAACTAAGAAAAAAAGGGAGAGAAAATACTCTTTTTCATATCTCTGGACTACACAATGTACAAACATATATATACACAAGTATAACCTAATTTAGATTCTAAAATCATGCTAGCCTAAATCAATCTATTACCTAATTAATATCTGATACTATAATCAAAACAAATTAAATCTAATCTTTCATAATATTTACAATAGCAAATCTTTCTATAATCACATATCTTCAACACTCCCCCTCAAGATGGAGCATAGATGTTAATCATGTCCATCTTGCCACAAATATAATCAATTCTCGGATTATTTAGAGATTTAGTGAAAATATCAGCTAACTGCTCTCCAGTTCTCACATGATTGGTTGAGATCAAGTTTAGCTGAATTTTTTCATGAACAAAGTGGCAATCAATTTCGATATGCTTTGTTCTCTCATGAAAAACTGGATTTGATGCTATATGAAGTGCAGCTTGATTGTCACACCATAACTTCATTGGAAGTGAATTATTGATTCCCACCTCACACAATAATTGGTGTATCCATATAAGCTCACAAGTGGATTGTGCCATAGACCGGTATTCAGACTCTGCACTAGAGCGAGATACTATATTTTGTTTCTTACTTTTCCACAATACCAAATTACCTCTAACGAAGACACAATATCCAGTTGTAGATCTTCGATCAATTTTAGAACCTGTTCAATCCACATCTGAGAAGCATTCAACATGAGAATGGCCATGATTACCATATAGTATACCACGTCCCGGAGCTCGTTTAAGATAACATAAGATTTGCTCTAAAACTGCCCAATGAGTGGTTCTTGGTAAGAACATAAATTGACTCACAATACTAACCGGATATGTAATGTCCGGACGAGTCACAGTAAGATAATTCAATTTTCCAACTAACCTCCGGTACATTTTAGGATCTGAGAATAACTCCTCACCATCTGCTGTAAGTTGCATGTTGAGAATTATTGGTGCACTACATGGCTTAGCACCTAGCTTTCCTGTTGCTTTCAAAAGATCAAGGACATACTTCCTGTGGCATAAGAAGATACCTTGTTTAGATCTTGTAATCTCAATGTCTAAAAAGTATTTCAACATACCCAAATCTTTTGTCTGGAAGCGCGATTGAAGAAAATTTTTAAGAGCTGCAATACCTGCATTGTTACTACTAGTAATAACAATATCATCAACATAAACCACTAATAGGATAATACCAACTTCAGATTGTTGATGAAAGACAGAATGATCAGAATTACACTTCTTCATGCCAAACTCTTGAACCACCTCACTGAATCTCCCAAACCAAGCACGAGGACTCTGTTTTAAACCATATAATGACTTCCGGAGTCTGCAAACCTTACCAAACTCCCCCTGAGCAACAAATCCAGGTGATTGCTCCATATAAACTTCCTCTTGGAAATTCCCATGAAGGAATGCATTCTTAACATCTAACTGATACAAAGGTCAATTATTAGTAGCAGCAAGGGAAATAAACAATCGAACAGAGGTAAGTTTTGCTACTGGAGAAAACGTGTCTGAGTAATCCACCCCATATGTCTGAGCATACCCTTTTGCAACAAGACGCGCTTTGAGGCGAGCAACAAAACGATCAGGATTGACTTTAACAGCAAACACCCATTTACAATCAATAGGTTTCTTACCTATTGGTAGATGAACCAAGTCCTAGATACCATTATTATCTAGGGCCATCATTTCTTCCTCCATAGCAATCCGCCAACCAGGATGTTCCAAAGCCTCAGATAAACATTGAGGAAGAGATATTGAATCTAAAGAAGTAGTAGAACAACGCAAGGAGGGAGACAAATGGTTATATAAAGCAAATGATGAAACTGGGTAAGTGAGTGCAAATCAAGACTGGAATCTAGAGACTGAGGAAGCGGTGGATCAAGACTCGGATCTGTAGACAAAGAAGATGGTGAAGGATGTGAGTCTATATGTTGAGAACGACGAGAATACACTTGAGTAATCGGTGGCCTGGTAGGAACAGTTGTTGTAACAGTGTAGACTAGAATATCATCTTCCTCCCCCTAACTACTATAGTCATTAGACTCAAGAAAAAATGGATGTCTTAAAAAATGTAACATCAGCAGAGACTAAATAACGATCTAAACTTGGAGAATAACATCTATACCCTTTTTAAAGACGTGAATAACCCAAAAACACACACTTGAGAGATTTGGGATCTAATTTAGACACCTGAGGACGAGTATCACGAACAAAACAAGTACATCCAAATATATGTGGTTCAATGGGGAACAAAGATTGGGTTGAAAACAAAATTAAATAAGGAATCTCACCAGCAAGCATAGAAGAAGGCATGCGATTAATTAAAAAACAAGCTGTTGAAACAGCATCTGCCCAAAATTGCTTATGAACCTTCATATGAAATAAAAGGGCTCTAGCAACTTCTAATAAGTACCTATTTTCCTTTCAGCAACACCATTTTGTGGTGGTGTGTCAGGACATAAAGATTGGTGAATGATTCCATTTTCTGACATATACGAATTAAAGGGTTTAGAAAAGTACTCTTTTGTATTATCACTTCGCAAAATGCAGACAGGCACATTGAATTGTGTTTTGTTTTAGTACAAAAGGAACAAAAGATGCTAAATAAATCTAAACGACTTCTCATTAAATATAACTAAGTAACACAAGAGTAGTCATCACAAAAGTGATAAAATACTTAAAGTTAGACTTAGATACTATTGGACAAGGGCTCCAAATATCAGAGTGCACTAATTCAAAAGGGGATGTAGCCCGTTTATTGACTCTAGGCAAGTAGGGCAAACGATAATGCTTGACAAATTGGCATGACTCACAATCTAAATGGGATAAATTTTGAAAACTTGGACACAACTTCTTCAAGGTGGGTAAAGATGGATGATCCAAATGACAGTGAATTTCAAGAGGAGTCAAGGTAGAGGAACATGCAACAGATTTCATCACTTTCGATGAAGGGGTTTCAAGTGTATACAGGCCGCTAGACTCACGTCCTTTACCAATAATTTTCTCCGTAATAAGATCCTGAAAAACACTATATTCAGGAAAGAATGACATAGAGCACTTGAGAGCTTTTGTAATTTTACTGACTGAGAGTAGATTAAAAGAAAAATTAGGTAAACATAAGATTGAATATAAGGGGATAGATGACATAGGAATTGCTACATCAGAACCCACAAGTGAAGCACATAACCCATCAGCCAAAGTAACATTCGAATGATCTTTGTTAGGATTAAAGAGGAGAGGATACCTTTATTACCGATCATATGATCTGTTGCACCGGAATCGATGACCCATTTTGTTAGAAGATGACATAAGGCATGTAGTAGGTTTACCTGAGTGATCAATAGAAGGAGGATTGGTACTAGAAGATGGGTTAGCAGATTTTTGTGAGGCCTGAAACTCAGTAAAACGGGGAAACTCATTAGCAGAGATGAGTATGAATTTGTCAGAAGGCACATAATTATTTTCCTGGGTTGCAAAATTTGCAAACGGGGGCTGCTGTTGAGATCTACCATGAGATCCCAACACGTAAGTATGATATGACCTAATTTCTTACAGTGATAACAGACTCGTTGATTTGAGTTGTATTGTCCATGACCAACAACCCCACCAGTCCCATTTTTGCCACTGTTTATACCATTATTTCCTCGACCAACTTCACTTCGACTCACGAGAGTACTAGTAATATTGAAAGTAAACAAAGATCCCTCGGTTCTCAACACTCGTGTGAAGGTGTCATGGAGGGAAACAATCTCTGGGTTAGAGAGAATTTGTGTTCGAGCAGCATCAAACTCAACTGGTAATCCTGCAAGAAAACTCATTACAGCCATTTGTTCCTGTTGAAACTGTTGAATTTTTACATCAGTACTAAAAAGGAGAGAATTCAATTCCTCATATACACGTTTAAAATCCATAAAATATTCTATAAGGGATCTCTGCTGTTTTTCTGGACGGTAAAATTCCTTGCAAATATCATATATATGATTTAAATTACCCTTACCAGAATACAAAAAGACCAAATAATCCATAAGATGTTTAACAAACTCACAATAATTGATGAGACTGACTATCTCATTATGAATAGAGTTTCGAATCTGCAAAAATAATTTTGCATCTACCCTTAGCCAAACCTTCTTTACTTCCCCATCAACAGGTGGGTTATCAGTAAGATGATCATCTCTATTAATGTTGTGCAGATATATCCGAATAATTTTACTCCAATCCAAAAAATTCTGCAAATAATTGCATAAACAGCTGTAGATGAATTAAAGAGTTAACTTTTGATTTCAGAATCTCTAACACTGGACCGGTATTTGATTATTGAGGCTAATGGTGGTCTTAATCAGCAGCGATCATCGGTAAGTGTACTCTGTTCAAGGATAAGATAAAGTTGGAGGAAAACTAGTGTTGCTTTCACTGCAGTTAGGTCTTCAATTTGTTCATAAATAAAGAAGAAATGGTTGAAACTCATCTCACAATCAGTGCTTGCTGTGGAAAAGCTTTAAATTGTCCCCTACAAAGATTTTAGCTAAAGACTATTCGAAACCATCGTGTATGGTGTGTTAAAACATAGGGAATAACCAGGAATTCACTATCTTATTGTTCTTGCCCCATCAAAAATTTTTTCATGTGTATCCATTGCCCTCATTGCGTCTACAATTGCATGGCTTTTCAATTAACAAATACTCTATGAGATTAAGGTTAAGAGTAGGATAAGGAATGTGGGATTTGTAAATAGTTAATGATGAAAAAATAATATTGACAATAAATATGGTAAGTCTTCTGAAAAATTTCGTAAGTGTTGGTAAAAATGCATATATAATGCAAGTGTTAGTTGTACATATGATACATTAAAACGTACTCACATTTCCCTTCTTGGATCTAAAGAGACCGAATATACACAATATTTTGGGATGAAAGGTATAAAATGTGTCACACAACTATTCCAATTCGTACGGGTCCCAAACCTGGTTGGCAGAGTAGCAAATACAGTGTGCTTCTTTTACCTACTGAAGAGATAGGTTTAGAGTTCTTAAAAGATAAAACACTAGATGGTTTACTGTTCCTACATATCATCTTTACGTTGAAATTATGATTCTTATGCCTCTTACAATTTTGTCTTACCATCTCTTTTAATGTTTTATTTTCAGAAACTAAACAAGTTAATCAAAATATGTTGACCAAAAATGGGATAGCGTTGTATTGCTCTGTATTTAATATTCGACCAAACCCCCCCCCCCCCCGCGGGGCGGGGCCAAATTAAAATTCTAGTTCCATCTCTGCTTTTGGATGAATTAAAATCAAAACAGAAGTATTCTTATGTGCAATAGAGCTCCAATCATTCTGCTGAAGAACACAGCAAAGATACTGTGTTTGACTGCCACTTGGAGAAAGAAAATTAATATGGATGATAGATGAATTTCCATTTCAACAAAACACGGCAAAGGTTTGCTTGCTGTAGGACACGAGAGAGAGAGAGCAAGATAGAAGAATTTCCATTCCGACAAAACACATTCAGCTCATAGATGCATAGAGTGACTTGTTCCTGTGTTAGACTGGGCATACCAGTTTTTTAGACAGTAAAAAAATGACTTGTACCTGGTAGCCAATTTTTGAAAAAAAGTGGTTGTTTATCTAAGTGTTACTCACTGTATCAATTATCTGCTAAGCCAATGATATATACTATGTGTCCAGTTGCTAAGTACTGTATATAGATGGTATTTGTTTCTGTTAGGTTGCAGTATTGATCATAGGATAAACAACTTGCAACTAATTTGAAGGTCTAATCTTTTAAGTTTTATATGTGGATCAAGGTTTCCCCCTCCTTATTTTGAAGAACCTTTAATGCAAATCTGAATGGCCATGCTCTTCTATCCTAACTAGCAAAGAAAGCCATTGGCAGCAAATAAGAACTGCAAGTAAATACGCTTAGCATCATGGTAACCTGAGCTTCTGAAATATAGCTAGACATAATCACAGACCAATTAATGCAAGAACTATAAATAAGGGAGCAGGCTGATGACAATTCATCTTTTACAGCTTTAGGTTATTATGATGTAATTCAGATTTTGGATGCTTATCAGTGGTATTATCAACTTTTGGAACCAGTACATGAGTTTGATGCTGGACACCTATTTAAGGAAATTCAGATACATATATTTGATCTATTTACCTGATGAAGTGGTAGAATGATGATTGAGCTGTAGGCATTATAGTGATTCAGAGAATTGAGAGACATATTTGCAGATTATACTTAGCATTAATTGATACCACATTGTTCTCATATCAAAACTGCAGGAGTTACACAATGACACACAACCAATGACATTCTATCATGTTTATGTTAAAGTATGTGGACCTTTGCCTCTGTCTTTCTGTCCTTTGCTCTTTCTGATTAGTTCAACTGATTGGCATATGTGGTGTAATAAGGCATTTTTTGGTCATTTTGCTAAAACAAATAGAGTGGACTATACATGTTAAAACAATAAGTCACAAGTGGAAGTTCTAATCATGTAAAATTTTACTGAGATATATATAGCCCATAAATAAGTAAGATGTTATTAGACCTATGCTCTAAGTTTTCTATCAGAATGCATAAAACTGGGCTTCAGCTTTTAACTTCTAGAAGGAAATTTTCCTTCTTGCTAATTTGTTCATGGAAACAAGAGAGACTATAAAAAAGTCAATAAGTATTGGCATGTATAGTGTGCTAACAACAATTGAGTTTAGATAGAAGATTACTTGGAAAATTTTTTTAAAGTAACACTGTACCACTTTTTGTGATTTGATGTTTGTGAGATGAAATGGCGGTTGGGAGGATTACAAGGTGATTCATGATGTAATAAAAAATTGTTTTTTGCAAATAATGTCCCATCCAAACAAAGCTTTTTTGGTTGTAAGTTCTCTTGATGATGCAATGTTTTACACTGAGCTTGTAACCTTTTGTCTTAGTTGTTAATGTACTGTTTTTACATAAAAGCTTATGTAATCTATAAGCAAAATTTAGTCTTGGTTCAAACTTTCCTGCCAGTTTGCAATTCATTTGTGTAATTTAAATTATCTAACCTTAAAAGAACCTCCTTGTAAACATTAGTTAAGTTTAATGGACTCTAGATAATAGATTTGTATTCTCCTAGAAAAGGCCTGTTCCTGACTTAGTTCTGGTCCTTTTCATTTGTTTATTTTCCTCCTTGTGATAAGGCCATTGCCAAGAGGATCCTTTAAATCTGCCTTAATTGATTACTTTTTCCAATAACTTTTGACCTGTGAGTACATATCTTGACAAGATGAAACAATATGAGGAGTTTTTGGATTTTTGATTTCACATTCTGGGCTTGAAAGGCTACTAGCTCAAATGGATAAGACTTTAACCAAAAGTTCCTCCAAATGACCCTTGGGTTCTGGAAATTTGTTGTTGTTTTATTGTAAATTCAGATATAGAGCCAAAATCTTTTGTAAACTATAATGCATTTGCAATTTCAGTTTCATCGGACAAATCGAGTTTTATGTACATTGTCATCCTTGTTAAAAACTTATGATTAAATTATTCATTTTACTAGATATTAGTTGAGTGAAGCTATAGGTTACAGTAATAGCTAAACCTGCAGATATGCAGTGCAGTGGCCTTGGCTGGGCTTTTGGGAGCAACTCTAGTTATTCCACGCCTCGAATTTCATAGTGTTTGGCAAGATTCAAGGTAACTCAATTATGCTTTAGTAGAATATTATTTCTTGTTGTGAATTTGGATTAAAACTAAATCAACAACGCAGTTGTGTTTTTATTTGATTTTCACTTCGTGAAGGTTCCACTTAGTGACAAACATCATATATACTGTCTTACCCAGTAACGTAAAAAGATGTACAAAAAAATCTATTTTTTGGCTGGATGGAGAAAGAAGTCTAATGTATTCACTTTGCACCTCATTTTCTCTTCAACTTCTCTTCTGTCTCTGAATGCTTCCTTTGTTGCTGAAAACAAAATAGATTCCTTTCCCACTAATGGTTTCTTTTTGGAATGTGCAGTGAATTTGCAGATATTTATGATGAAGAACATTTCATATTTACCCTGAAAGATTTTGTAACAGTAGTCCGGGAGCTACCTGAAGAAATAATGAAAACATATGATTTTAACATCAGCAGTATACCAAATATTCGTGTCCAAGCTTGGGCTCCTGCCAGTTACTACTTAGGAGAAGTTTACCCAGTCTTGCTCAACCAGAGGTTCATTCTGATCATGACTTTATAGTCCAGTACTTTTATAGTAGAGTATCACAACAATTTTCTTGAGAAATCTCTAAAGCCTTGCTTTCTCTGACACATTGCTTTCAGTTTCTCCCTTGTACTCCCAATATCAGGCTGAAATGTAAATTAACCTGTATAATGAATATAATGCAGGAAAGTATGTTTAAATTTTTCTATTAACTGCATGAGATGTTCAAACTGCTAAGGTTATTTAACAAACTCCTAACTGATGCTCTCGATTGTGGCTTCATGTGCTCTAAGTAAAAATATTCACTTGTTGTCTTTCCCATCAATCACTATGATCTGTTTGCTCTAGCAAAGAATGGCATGATCTATGGAAAATCTCTAGCTTCTGCTGAACCAGAATTATTAGGTCAATGCCCTCAAAGCACATTCCTGCTTGTCTGTCAAGAGTTATTGTTTAGTTTGTTGGAGAAGTCCTGTTTCGATACTTAGTAGAAATTGTTTCCAATGAAAATAATTCTAATTTTGTGTGTCTTACAGATGCTTCCCATTGAGCAGCTTTGCCAGGATAAATTTGCCCATGAATGTTGCTACTAAGGATTCTATGGAGCACCTAGAATTCTGAATCTTGTTCTTTGTCAAACATCAATTCTCATGATCTACTTCTTCTAATCAGTATGTTATACAAACAAATAAATTAGACCTACAAAATGTTATATTGTCTTTTCTGTTTTGCCTTGTCCAATGCTATCATTGTTTTGTAGGGATGTTCGTGTCAAAGTGATGTGGTGTTAGTTTCTTGCATAGGGATTTGTGCTGTATGGTTGTACATGATGTTGTTGCATGTTTTTTCTTGAAGATGAGATTTGGAGTGTTCCTCACCAAAAAAAAAAAAATTCCTCTATGATTGGGTTATCATTTTAATATGATTACCTTTTCCTGTCCTGAAAAATCGTTTTGGCATGTCATACAATACAGGTTTGAACTTGAGGGAACTGGAAAAGCACAAGAAACTGTTTAACTAATGTACTTGGTTAAACTTCAAACTACCCTTGCCCCCCCCCAGGGCCCCAGAATAAAAGGATTGCTGATATTGCATCTCTTTAACACAGGGTTGTCCGCATATCTCCATTTGCAAACAGGCTGTCAATGAATGTTCCACCTCATATTCAGTTTTTAAGATGTTTGACCAATTATAAAGCTCTCAGATTCTCTTCTGCCATATCGAATCTTGCACAAAAATTAGTCAATAGAGTGACAGAGAAAAGCTCTTCCTATGGTGGGAAGTATGTTTCAATTCATCTCCGCTTTGAGGAGGTATACCTGCCTGCTTCTAAATTTGAATCCTGTTTTCTGCATTGTAATGCTTTTATGAGCTAATATTCAGGTGTTCCATTTCAATTTAGTTGACTCAATTTCTTGATAATCTAAGTTATCTATCTTTGAAGTACAGGACATGGTGGCCTTCTCTTGTTGTTTATATGATGGTGGAAGGTCTGAAAAATTTGATATGGATGCAATACGAGAGAAGGGGTGGGGTAAGAAATTCAAGAGCAGCGGTCATGTGATTTCACCTGGTCTTAATCGCATTAATGGAAGGTGTCCTATGACTCCTTTGGAGGTTAGTTCGTAAATTATAAAATCAATGTGTATATTGTGTACAGGAAAATTTGAGCTAAGCAAAGATGGTAAATATTGGCCAAACAAATATGTCTAAAAGCCCTGGAGTTAGCCTTGTTAATATAACCTCCTCTCTTGGTATCCTTAGGCTAAAATAACATAATTTATTCATTGCCTTTTCTTTTTTATTGACAATGGAACTGTTGGTACTGATGTGAAAACTAAATTCAATTCTACCATTGAGGGTCTAGAAGATTGCCCAGTTGCATGCTTCCACTAATTGCATGTTCATGTGATATCAGAGTATAGAAAGCATTGCTCTCATGCATGACTCGTGCATTGGGCTGAATAAGGCTCCAAACTGAAGAAATTCTTTAATTAAATATTTCATGTGCATTCCTTGAGGCATTTGCTTAATCCACAAACATGTCTACGTTCTGAACCAAATGCTGTTTCTATGTGTTTTTCCTTTTCAGATTGTTCAGATGTTTCTGTGGATTTGTATGTTTGCAGTAACAAATGTTGTGTTAAATATGACGCAAGTAAATGTGAACGGAAGCTATCATATTTATACATTTTCAGTAACAAATGTGCTAAATATCATGTCAGTCTATGTGAATGGATTTTCATGTCACTTTAACAGTCAGAAACTGGTGCAGTGTCTTGGGCAATTGATATAATATATATATATATATGTATGTATGTATGTATGTATGTATTATATGTTCTGAGGGAGGTGAATGAAATGGCAGCTTTGTGAAGTTGTTCTGATCTATACATACTGGTAATACAAGATACTGACTGCTATATTCTTCTGAAAACTGGAATGGAAAAAGAATAAGAAAGTGACACCTTTCCAGGCCCTTGTATCATTATCATTTTTATCATCTCCAATATCACCATTACCATCATGATATTGACATTTAGTCATGTATTCTCCATCAGTGGACGCTATGACTTGTGCTTATCTCGTGGATATATTCATTTTTCAATGCACAAATGTAAACTAGAATCAGAACAATTTCTAATTGATGGTGCATATTCATCTTTGATTTTTCTTGCAACTACGATTCGTTGATGTTTTATACTATAATTGCATGAAATTCTCAACTGTTGCATGTAAATTACTCAATCCTTCTATTCATTTCTTTTCTTTGTCAGGATAGGTTGGGATGATGCTTAGAGGTATGGGATTTGCCAATGACACGCCTATTTATTTGGCTTCAGGAAAAATTCACCAGGCAGATAGAAATTTAATGCCTCTTCTCAAGATGTTCCCCCTATTACAGACGAAGAACTTGCTTGCAACAGAAGACGAGCTTGCTGAGTTTCAGGTAGAGATATAATGCACCTACTGAGTTTACATTTCCATTATGAAGTATTTGGTATACCAATTTGTGATATTAGCTCTTTCAGATGATTTATAATTCATTGTGAACTCTGCAAAAAGGATGATATTCAGTTTCTGCATAATAGCCAATTTCTGTATGAGAACTATTTTCTGTGCAAGGGTGTAGTAACCCTGAAACTTACTAAAATATGAAGATTTAAAATGAACTTGTCTAAAGAGCATCAGTATTCTGAGCGAGGCAACAAAATGGTAGTCTGTGCTCTTTCATGAGATGGTAGCCACTTCAATGGCCTACCTATTCAACTGGTATTTGTTTAGATGTGCCCTTATTTTGTATCTTCTTTACTATGCTTTGAAAAGATCAGATTCCATTAGGCTACTAAATTCTCCGACAGAAACTGGTACATTAAATTTTGAGCTCTTAAAACTTCCATAAGTGCACTTAATTGCACTGGTAGTCAGTTTCATTGCTGAAAGATCTCGTCCATCTAGCAAATTAGAAGCCAATTTGGCATTTTAGTGTTCTTATAGATTTTGTGATCATTCTTTTCATTTCTTAATGATGTACCTTGGATCTTGTTCTTCTAGACAATGGCCTAAAAGAAATATTTTTATTTGTTTCTGCTGCCTGAAGAAAAGCACCTGAGTAGACTTAAGTTAATCAGTGTTTCAGTTTTCCAAAGTATGTGGGCTGATATTATTACTAATCTAACTGCTCAAGCAGATTTATGTATTGGTCAGAGCATAGTATGTTAAAAGAAAAACCAACAAAACTGTCTGCGCTAGCTTCTTGATTATTTGTTAATCAAAGGACTAGGATACATGAAATTTGATTGACTCTTTTACCCTTCATATCCCATCCAAGGGATACTCTTCAAGGTTAGCTGCATTGGACTATGCTGTATGCTTGTTTAGTGAAGTATTTGTCAGCACTCAAGGTGGAAACTTCCCGCATTTTCTGATGGGTCATAGGAGGTTCCTCTATAATGGCCATGCTAAAACCATCAAACCCAATAAGCCCAAGCTTGCGCTTTTACTGCACAACACAAGCATAAGGTGATATCTGTTCTCCCATTCTGTTTTGTTTACTTCTCCATTCTCTGTGTGTTTTACCATTTTTCTGTTAACTAGCTACTTTTGTTTACAATTTCTAAAAAGTTTCACTCTTTGCCTGTTTGAAAACTTTATGACTTTTTATTTGAACGTTGAGGACATGATGCACTATTGATACATGTAGACCAGAAGTTGATTTAGTATATTTCCTTGGATCTTACTGAAAATGGATCACTTAGAACTAAAGGGAGAGAACAGGTTGCTAGTTCTGTCTTTTACAAGTCTACACAGTATGTTTATATTCAGTTAGAGCAATACCTGTCAGGTAACTTTAAAGGGAATCAAATCTATAAAGTTCTTGAGTTGCTGTTGTATTTTAGTAGAACTTTTAGTTGAATTTGGGAGTTAAGCTACAGATTCTACTAACGTATAAAATGCTTCAGGTGCAACTCTTTTTTCCTTTAATCTTTTTTTGGGTTGAATACAAGGCTTTATTAGAAAACTGAAAACTAGCTTAATTTTCTTGAAATATACTTATTTTCAGAGGTACTTGCTCCCAAATGATGCTAAGATTCTTGAATTGATGTGAGTGAATGTCCCTCACACATATACTCAGCAGAAATGCTTTCCGGATGCTGGGCAATTCTGGGGCATCCGACTGTGCTATTCCCTATTAAAAGCATTTTTTAAAATTCAGAATCATTCCAATCACGAACTCCAAATCGTTTTGACCTTATTTACTACCGATAGCAGAAATCACTGCAATCTAGGTGTCAGGATTCAACTAAACCAATCAGCATCTACATTTTAGATTAATCAGCAAGTGTTGTGTAATTACTGGACTGATCATCCAACAACAACACCAAACAGTACTGAACCCCAAAGTCAAAATGTGGTTTGACATATTATTCACTCCCTAAAAGAACTGTATCTTTAGGTGATCTGGTGAAGTTTGTTTTGTTGGACAAGTTGTAGAATTCAATTTTTTAACATTATCAGTTCAGGTTTTTGATCTGAAAACTAAGAAAAAAAGGGAGAGAAAATACTCTTTTTCATATCTCTGGACTACACAATGTACAAACATATATATACACAAGTATAACCTAATTTAGATTCTAAAATCATGCTAGCCTAAATCAATCTATTACCTAATTAATATCTGATACTATAATCAAAACAAATTAAATCTAATCTTTCATAATATTTACAATAGCAAATCTTTCTATAATCACATATCTTCAACACTCCCCCTCAAGATGGAGCATAGATGTTAATCATGTCCATCTTGCCACAAATATAATCAATTCTCGGATTATTTAGAGATTTAGTGAAAATATCAGCTAACTGCTCTCCAGTTCTCACATGATTGGTTGAGATCAAGTTTAGCTGAATTTTTTCATGAACAAAGTGGCAATCAATTTCGATATGCTTTGTTCTCTCATGAAAAACTGGATTTGATGCTATATGAAGTGCAGCTTGATTGTCACACCATAACTTCATTGGAAGTGAATTATTGATTCCCACCTCACACAATAATTGGTGTATCCATATAAGCTCACAAGTGGATTGTGCCATAGACCGGTATTCAGACTCTGCACTAGAGCGAGATACTATATTTTGTTTCTTACTTTTCCACAATACCAAATTACCTCTAACGAAGACACAATATCCAGTTGTAGATCTTCGATCAATTTTAGAACCTGTTCAATCCACATCTGAGAAGCATTCAACATGAGAATGGCCATGATTACCATATAGTATACCACGTCCCGGAGCTCGTTTAAGATAACATAAGATTTGCTCTAAAACTGCCCAATGAGTGGTTCTTGGTAAGAACATAAATTGACTCACAATACTAACCGGATATGTAATGTCCGGACGAGTCACAGTAAGATAATTCAATTTTCCAACTAACCTCCGGTACATTTTAGGATCTGAGAATAACTCCTCACCATCTGCTGTAAGTTGCATGTTGAGAATTATTGGTGCACTACATGGCTTAGCACCTAGCTTTCCTGTTGCTTTCAAAAGATCAAGGACATACTTCCTGTGGCATAAGAAGATACCTTGTTTAGATCTTGTAATCTCAATGTCTAAAAAGTATTTCAACATACCCAAATCTTTTGTCTGGAAGCGCGATTGAAGAAAATTTTTAAGAGCTGCAATACCTGCATTGTTACTACTAGTAATAACAATATCATCAACATAAACCACTAATAGGATAATACCAACTTCAGATTGTTGATGAAAGACAGAATGATCAGAATTACACTTCTTCATGCCAAACTCTTGAACCACCTCACTGAATCTCCCAAACCAAGCACGAGGACTCTGTTTTAAACCATATAATGACTTCCGGAGTCTGCAAACCTTACCAAACTCCCCCTGAGCAACAAATCCAGGTGATTGCTCCATATAAACTTCCTCTTGGAAATTCCCATGAAGGAATGCATTCTTAACATCTAACTGATACAAAGGTCAATTATTAGTAGCAGCAAGGGAAATAAACAATCGAACAGAGGTAAGTTTTGCTACTGGAGAAAACGTGTCTGAGTAATCCACCCCATATGTCTGAGCATACCCTTTTGCAACAAGACGCGCTTTGAGGCGAGCAACAAAACGATCAGGATTGACTTTAACAGCAAACACCCATTTACAATCAATAGGTTTCTTACCTATTGGTAGATGAACCAAGTCCTAGATACCATTATTATCTAGGGCCATCATTTCTTCCTCCATAGCAATCCGCCAACCAGGATGTTCCAAAGCCTCAGATAAACATTGAGGAAGAGATATTGAATCTAAAGAAGTAGTAGAACAACGCAAGGAGGGAGACAAATGGTTATATAAAGCAAATGATGAAACTGGGTAAGTGAGTGCAAATCAAGACTGGAATCTAGAGACTGAGGAAGCGGTGGATCAAGACTCGGATCTGTAGACAAAGAAGATGGTGAAGGATGTGAGTCTATATGTTGAGAACGACGAGAATACACTTGAGTAATCGGTGGCCTGGTAGGAACAGTTGTTGTAACAGTGTAGACTAGAATATCATCTTCCTCCCCCTAACTACTATAGTCATTAGACTCAAGAAAAAATGGATGTCTTAAAAAATGTAACATCAGCAGAGACTAAATAACGATCTAAACTTGGAGAATAACATCTATACCCTTTTTAAAGACGTGAATAACCCAAAAACACACACTTGAGAGATTTGGGATCTAATTTAGACACCTGAGGACGAGTATCACGAACAAAACAAGTACATCCAAATATATGTGGTTCAATGGGGAACAAAGATTGGGTTGAAAACAAAATTAAATAAGGAATCTCACCAGCAAGCATAGAAGAAGGCATGCGATTAATTAAAAAACAAGCTGTTGAAACAGCATCTGCCCAAAATTGCTTATGAACCTTCATATGAAATAAAAGGGCTCTAGCAACTTCTAATAAGTACCTATTTTCCTTTCAGCAACACCATTTTGTGGTGGTGTGTCAGGACATAAAGATTGGTGAATGATTCCATTTTCTGACATATACGAATTAAAGGGTTTAGAAAAGTACTCTTTTGTATTATCACTTCGCAAAATGCAGACAGGCACATTGAATTGTGTTTTGTTTTAGTACAAAAGGAACAAAAGATGCTAAATAAATCTAAACGACTTCTCATTAAATATAACTAAGTAACACAAGAGTAGTCATCACAAAAGTGATAAAATACTTAAAGTTAGACTTAGATACTATTGGACAAGGGCTCCAAATATCAGAGTGCACTAATTCAAAAGGGGATGTAGCCCGTTTATTGACTCTAGGCAAGTAGGGCAAACGATAATGCTTGACAAATTGGCATGACTCACAATCTAAATGGGATAAATTTTGAAAACTTGGACACAACTTCTTCAAGGTGGGTAAAGATGGATGATCCAAATGACAGTGAATTTCAAGAGGAGTCAAGGTAGAGGAACATGCAACAGATTTCATCACTTTCGATGAAGGGGTTTCAAGTGTATACAGGCCGCTAGACTCACGTCCTTTACCAATAATTTTCTCCGTAATAAGATCCTGAAAAACACTATATTCAGGAAAGAATGACATAGAGCACTTGAGAGCTTTTGTAATTTTACTGACTGAGAGTAGATTAAAAGAAAAATTAGGTAAACATAAGATTGAATATAAGGGGATAGATGACATAGGAATTGCTACATCAGAACCCACAAGTGAAGCACATAACCCATCAGCCAAAGTAACATTCGAATGATCTTTGTTAGGATTAAAGAGGAGAGGATACCTTTATTACCGATCATATGATCTGTTGCACCGGAATCGATGACCCATTTTGTTAGAAGATGACATAAGGCATGTAGTAGGTTTACCTGAGTGATCAATAGAAGGAGGATTGGTACTAGAAGATGGGTTAGCAGATTTTTGTGAGGCCTGAAACTCAGTAAAACGGGGAAACTCATTAGCAGAGATGAGTATGAATTTGTCAGAAGGCACATAATTATTTTCCTGGGTTGCAAAATTTGCAAACGGGGGCTGCTGTTGAGATCTACCATGAGATCCCAACACGTAAGTATGATATGACCTAATTTCTTACAGTGATAACAGACTCGTTGATTTGAGTTGTATTGTCCATGACCAACAACCCCACCAGTCCCATTTTTGCCACTGTTTATACCATTATTTCCTCGACCAACTTCACTTCGACTCACGAGAGTACTAGTAATATTGAAAGTAAACAAAGATCCCTCGGTTCTCAACACTCGTGTGAAGGTGTCATGGAGGGAAACAATCTCTGGGTTAGAGAGAATTTGTGTTCGAGCAGCATCAAACTCAACTGGTAATCCTGCAAGAAAACTCATTACAGCCATTTGTTCCTGTTGAAACTGTTGAATTTTTACATCAGTACTAAAAAGGAGAGAATTCAATTCCTCATATACACGTTTAAAATCCATAAAATATTCTATAAGGGATCTCTGCTGTTTTTCTGGACGGTAAAATTCCTTGCAAATATCATATATATGATTTAAATTACCCTTACCAGAATACAAAAAGACCAAATAATCCATAAGATGTTTAACAAACTCACAATAATTGATGAGACTGACTATCTCATTATGAATAGAGTTTCGAATCTGCAAAAATAATTTTGCATCTACCCTTAGCCAAACCTTCTTTACTTCCCCATCAACAGGTGGGTTATCAGTAAGATGATCATCTCTATTAATGTTGTGCAGATATATCCGAATAATTTTACTCCAATCCAAAAAATTTTTCCCACTCAATTTGTGTTCAGTAATCTTTGATGTTGTAGAAATAACATCAGAAATTACTGTTTTCATCTCTCTACTACTACCTTTCATATCTGCTATTATAATTCACACAAGAAAAAACTAAAAGTGACTCAATAGGGTCACGTCAAAAAACAAACTGATGACAGAATCTAAAGCTCTGATACCATGAAAACTAAGAAAAAAGGGAGAGAAAATACTCTTCTTCATATTTCTGGACTACACAATGTACAAATATATATATACACAAGTGTAACCTAATTTAGATCCTAAAATCATGCTAGTCTAAATCAATCTATTACCTAATTAATATCTGATACTATAATCAAAACAAATCAAATCTAATCTTTCCTAATATTTACAATAGCAAATCTTTCTATAATCACATATCTTCAACATGATCCATATAGCAGCATCCATACACAGAAAGAACCCTGATTTCATAATTAAAAAAATAAATAAATTCTCTTCCAAATGTTCTGATTTAGGCAATGCCATTGATCCTAGTGTGTACTTTATGATGTTAATGATAATGGAGGTGGTTGTTGACTCCTTAGTACGTATTGAGGAAAGCAAAGAGGTTGCTGCATGTAAGTGCAATCATGTGCTGGAAGAACTTTCAATATGGTGGGGGGGGGGGGCAGTTTGGCTCTGAAGCCTTTATTTTTGCTTGCTTTTGTTTCATGCTGAGTCAATAATTATATCCTAGAAAACAGCTGCTAAAAGGGACATTAGCGTGCTTGTTCAGACCATCATCAGTTAGACATAATAGCCTCGTCAATTGAGGAACTATAAGAAAGTCATGCAGGAAAAGCAAAATGTAGCAAAGAAGTGGTTTTTCATTTTAATCCCTTTATTTTTTCAGATAGATATGGAAGCAAATATATTCATTTGCTGTCCTTGCATGTTAAGTTTTGATTAAGAAGCTTGTGGTGACACCATGAGGTTGGTGCTGCAAAAAATTCCTTGGTTATAGGAGACAAATCTGGCTGTATATATTGATTTAAATGTAACTTGGTGTACAAGGGCTTACTCTGGAATGGTCATCTTCCAAATCAGAGACTATGATATTATTAGCACATAAAGAGACTTCATAATACTTAACATGCATTACATATGTATCAAGAAAAATCTGATCCTAATCAGCAGCACCATCAGAACTTGCATGGCTGCCAATGTGCGTCTAATTAAAAAAAATCCCACCAGAAGAAGTGAGAAAGATGGAGAAAGACAGAGATAAGGCAAAAATCAGATGGGGGTTGAGCATGTCAGGGATATGAACGAGAACTGTAAAACTAATGCGTATAATTTCAAGAAATAGACTTAAACTCCAAATATGGAAAGCCAAAGAGAAGACCTAGCAGATGATGAGTTCGGATTTCGGACATTGTCAATCTGTTGAAAAAAAATGCAGAACCCTCATCAGAGGGAATTAGTAGATTTAGGGATGTGAGCGTCTGGGTGTTCAGGCAATTCTACTTCTTTCTGGATATGAGATTTCATTGTGAAATGAACGCCTGAAGAAAATGTCATAACTACAAAATCTAACAGGACGAGAAGAATGCAGCATCTCTCTTGCATCCAAATTTTGGAGGGATGTTAATATTTCTATCAGTATTTTGGTTAGATATAGAAATATAATACACAGATTATACTTCAACTTAATATGACTATGATTAGTTAGTTGGACCAAAAAAGATTTGTGCGTCATACATTTCAACAATTTCTTTAAACTACTTGCAGATGGGATGCTTTTAAGAATGAGATGCAATCAATGCTTGCTGAAATTGATAAAAAAGGTACCGCTGTGCCCATTGTCAAAAAATCCAGGAGAAAGGCTTCCATCTACTCAAACCCTTTGCCAGAATGTAGGTGTCTATTGGAATCGAAGAACATATCCAGTGCATTTATGCTGAAGGCTGCTGAATGATATGAAATTGTTCACTTATAAAGCACTTTTGCAGAGTAGCTTCTCGCATACAGCAGACAAAGATTATCTGCTTTTACCTATGAACAAAGAAAACTTTGCGGGCATTGACTATAAAGGTTGCTCATGTGTACTAAATCCCTTGAATGCGAGCTTAGGGCTGGATAAACTCCCTATGGTGATCAATTGATTTTTCTTTTTTGCAAGGAAAGGTGGTGTAGACGTTTGACCAAATTGTTTCTGTTGTTGGGGAAGAAAATTTTTGTATTTTCTGGCAACTTCTGAGTAGAGGATGTTGCAAGGATTTTGTTATCAGGTGATTGTAAGGGTATGCTGCAGAGCTGATTTAGGCCAATTGAGTGTTCTATGACAATGTTACACTTTGAGAGACATATTATTGTTATGTTCAAAAGCAACTGTCATGTTACCTCTTGAAATGTACTTTCTTCGTGCATCTATTGAATAATTAACATTCTAACTTTTTTATTGTTGATGCTTTTGTAAACGAAGCACTTTCTTTTTAGCAAAAGGAAAAGTTTGTTAATTTCAATAATACCCAATGGACTCTTCAGGCTCACCATAACTAAACGTTACTAGAAATTCCCGCCCCCAGCTGCTGGACAAAGAATATTACTCCCTCCGTCCTGTTTTATTAGTCTTGGTTTTTTTTTTCACACAGATTAAGAAAGTGTAATTAATTTGGTTGGAAACATAAATTTAGATTAATAATTTTCTAAAATACCCTTATGCTAATCACGAAGAGTGTATTGGAAAAACTCAATGTATTCAATGTAGTGAGTTAGTATTTAATAATAATGTATTAATAACAAGATATTTAATAAGGGTATTTTAGACAATTTGAAAGATTACTACATTCCTTAATGGGGAAGTGGACTACAATTTGGGACGGACGAAAAAGGAAAACAAGACTATCAAAGTGGGACGGAGGGAGTACATCTTCTTTCCTTTATTACTCGTTTCATTTTTTTATGGATGCATTCTTCATTCTTGCTCCATTTGTTCACAATATAATTTGAAGCTACAAATTACTGAATTTTCAATCTAAATATGGATTCATTTGTTCAAAATCTATGCTCAAATGGTTTGAACAAGATTTACATTTTTTTAGGTTAAAAAATCTTTTAAAAAAAATCACTTATGGTTTGACGTATGTATACTTTAGCTCTCTCTAGTTTAAAATGCTAACAAATTTACCCTTATGGTTGTAACCAAAGTGAAATTGTTAGATTTAATTCCTACACTTGAATAGTCAAAATTTCAAATAAAATTATTATGAAATTATACAATCACCCTTCAATCTTAGGTTAAAATAATTTTAAAATTAAAATTTTAAGGTAAAATTAAAATTAAAAAAATATATTTGCCTGGTCTTTAGTGCTACTTGTTAGACTCCATGATTTAAAAGTTTTATTTGCTTTGTCTCATGAAGGGCAAGAACAAATCATGAAGTCAAATAAAAGATTTTTTTTGGGTAAAAAATAGAAAAACCCATGTGGTAAATCTAATATATAGAAAGTCTCCCGTGGTTTCAAAACGTACAGCACAAAACCTCATATTTTGAACTAAATTATAAAGGTGACGAAATCCGTTAAAATTAATGGGGACGAACGAATGACAAAAATGCCTTGATATAACTAAGCAAAAAGGAGCTCAACAAAATCATTTGTTTGATTCTTTAGAGAGAAAGAATTGGGGGTTAAGGGGTAAATCAGGTATATTTATTAAAAATTAGGTATAAAAAAATTTGTTTTTAGGTTCCAATAAGTCATTTCCATTAATTTTAACGGATTTCGTCACTTTTACAATTTAGTTCAAAATATGAGATGCCGTTTTATACGTTTTGAAACTACGGGAGATTTTTCTGTATATTAGATTTACTACAAGGGATTTTTTTTTGTTTTTGAACTTTTTTTTACTAGGGTGGTAGCAATCCAACATATAATATTGAAACCAAAGCAAATATTAGCTTGTTTCTAAAATTTTATTTTTATCCCAAATTTGCTCTCGAATTTTGTTTAGAACATCATGTTGACCTACAATTGAAGGATAATTTTTGTAATTTATAGTTATTTTATTTGAAAAGTTTGACTATTCAAGTTTGAGCGTTAAATGTAACGACAAATTTAACGGTTTCAATTTGATTATAATCACAAGGGATTAAATTGCAAGTTTCTAAATTACAGGGAGGTAAATTGTACATATTCCAAATCCTAGGATTTTTCTTTTTGGTACTTTACCCTTTTTTTAAGAGAAATCGAACAAAGTGAATTGATGAATTGAATAACGAACTATTGCATACCAACTCATAATTACGCTAGCAACAGATGTTGCACTTTAACAGTTGCATCGAATCCTATCAAAAACCTCTCTATCATTGCACACGAAGTCGATAAGTAGACTTTGTAGGTATTATCATCAATATTTATGGATCAAATGCACTTCCCTTTTCTAAGGAAACCTTTATGGTGGGAACCTGTCTATGGTAGGAAGGCCGGTAGAGAGCGACACGTGTTGACGTTATATACAGTTCAAACGGAGACGTTAAATTGTTGCATAGCATGTGAAGAGGAAATATATGAGAATCGTTTGCGGATGCAACCAGAAAGCATACTGATTTCCGTACGAGTTTGGCCAGGAAGTGTTATTACATGTTAAAATCAGAGGCATTTATATATTTGCAAATGTACCCATTACTAATAGAAAAATGTTGCAAATGCCTTGGACAAAAAATGTGCGTAAAGAAGGTATCGAAATTTTAAGAAATAATAAATGATTATCGCATACGCGTGGGGGATAATAATTTGGAAGAAGAAAAAGTGGAGGTAAACGAAAGGATTCAAGCCTTTATTATATTTATATACATATATAAATTTAGTACTCAAGTGTTCAGCTTAAGCATCCAGGAAAATGGTCCCATAACTATCGATACGGTAAACAACACAGTTTTAGATATGATATAATAGGTTCTAAAAATTTTAGCGACAATTTGATTACTCGTTAGACCTATCCACTTGAATAGGATTATGGGTAAAAATAAGGGAGTAAATTTGTCATTCAAAATAGTAAGTTAGCGTAATAAATTAGTAACTTTTGCAGTCGAAAAGGTAATTGTAAGTAATATGAAACATACTTTTTAAAGAGATAAATTACAATAGTATATCCCAAATATACTTTTGAGGGAGTAAGCTTATTTGAAGTAAAAATATGTTTTTATACAGAAATAATGAGTTTTAGTTATAACATAGTAAATTTGATTAATGACAAAAACATGCTAATTTATGGCCATAATATTGTATTATGCTTAAAAAACTTATACGAATCCCATATTTTAGAGTTATTTGAAATAACACAAAAATGTTTTATTATTGATTAAAACTGAGTACGTTACTTAGTCAGTACAGTTATTATACTTGTATACATACTTGATGGTATGTGTATAAATAAGCATTTTTGAGATTTACGGGGAAATTGATTTTTTCTTTTGCAGTTTAAAAAAAAGGTAAGCGAAAATCTTTTTTCTCAGAGCACAAAAATCCACAAGTCAAAGTTCTTGGTCTAAAGGGGAAAGAAACATTTTGAATATCATTGTTTACAGTACTAAATAAATTAGATGTAAAATGCTCGTTAAAAACAGGTGCGTTGACATATAATAAAGGAAAGACATAAAGAGCAGACCATTTACGAGAAAAGTTGTTATTCATAAAAATAGTAACGCTTTACGATTTTCTTATCAGTTTTGCAACGTATGAGCAAAATGGCAATAATTAAAATAGTATTTTATTCGAATTATACATATTTCATTAATTTTTTTCCATTTAAAAAAATGAATGAGAATCTTTTATGAGAAAGCACATAAGTCAAAGGAATGATGTAAAAGGGAAAAGAATAGCATATACGTACAGTACCTATAGTTTATGTTCGAAGGACTATAGTGCTATTTTTTAAAAATATCCCAAAAATATGTAATCGAAACGGAGCCGATTCTTCACTATTTAAAATGTCAAATCTGTGATTGTGTTGTAACTGTTATCTATTGGTATCGTAAAGTATTATTTTTTCATAAAATTTCACCTCTTTAACGCCAATTTTCCCATAAACCAATTTATTTATCGGATAAAATATATGAAAATTCGGTTTTGAATAAAGCAGTAACTGTTTATGGCTTTCCTCCATTATAAGAACAGAGTACCCATTTTTGCATAAACAAATTTATTTATCGGATAAAATAAAAATAAATCCATTGTTAAATAAAACACTAACTCTTTATGACTTTCCTCCATTATAAAACAGAGTACCCATTTCAGCCCCTCTAGAAAAATTCCACCTCTTTAACACCAATTTTCCCATAAACCAAATTATTTGTCGGATAAAATACATGAAAATTCTATTTTTCAATAAAACACTAGTTCTTTATGGTTTTCCGCCATTATAAGAACAGAGTACCCATTTTTGCATAAACAAATCTATTTATCGGATGAAATAAAAATAAATCCATTGTTCAATAAAACACTAATTCTTTATGACTTTTCTCCATTATAAAAACTGAGTACCCATTTTAGCCTCTCTAGAAAAAAAAATCTTGGCTTTGTCACTGACTGAAATGTTTGTAACTGAGATTTATCCTTAGTGAAAAAATGTATGATACGTAATTTTTTCACTGTATTGAATTTATATGATGGCAAATTAAATGGGTCCATTGGATTAGTGTGCAGCAGTTTTGAGAATGATTCCGAGAGTAAACTATATTATGGCAGTAAAATATATTGAATTGTGAAAATTATAATTTCAACATGCTCCTAAATTTTGGATATATGACTTTCGCTGTTGCGAATATCTTAAATTAATAGTTGGTTATTACTATGAGTAATGTGGTAAGTGTGAGATGTGAATGTCAGTAATAACTGTTAGTTAATACTATCAGTAAAGTTAGCAGTAAATGTGAGATGTTAATTGGAATTTACAGATATTAATTTGACATGGTTGGTTATTATCTGTTAGTTAAGATTCGGGAGTTTTAATTTTATTGGTTAGTGGGGAAAATGTGAGGGAAATGTGGGAAAAACATGAGCACGATTATAGGATTTGTACGAGCAGTTAAAGGATTAGTTGTGAGATAAACATTTCTTAATTTTAGAAATGTAAAATTGTAATAAAATAGTATTCGAACTTTTGACAATTTGAAAAGCTCCTTATCTAAAATTCTCTCTGCAATACATATAGACAAATATAGATGTTTTTTTTTAGTGGTTGAATGTCATATTCGCGAACTATCTGCAGAAAAAAATAAATTTGTAGACTAAACTAATTTTGTTATACCAACTTTGTTATTCTTATTATTTTATTAATTGTTATGCTATTTTTCTCATTTTGTTAGGTCTACATTAATGCAAGTTTAATTCCTATTATGTCTCGTGTC